TGTAGTCAAATATATTTTTCCAATAGTATGAAAATTTATAAACATATCTAAGTGTTTATTATATTTGTAATTGAATGCTTTTTTGATATTTTCATTTTTATATGTGGATTTAAAGAAAGGAAAGGAAGAAATAGCAAAAAGAAGAAAGTATAATCTGGAAAGTTTTAGTCTGAATTTTGGACTTACATAAATCAGGCTGTTTCTTGTTGATTTAATAAGCTTTGGCAATATTCTTTTAATAATTGATTACAATATTACATGTTCAAACTATCTTACTATACTGTACATATCATGAAAACAGTAGTTATATATTAAATGCATCAGCGTGTATAATACGGATTTTTTTATGCATAATTTATTAAGTTTTTATATATATAGTCTTCATAATAAAACTTAAATTTTTATAATTTAGTGAATCTTTTTTAGATTAAAAATTGTAAAAATTAGAAATATAAATGAAATGATTCAGTATTATTACTTCTTGACTTTGCTTATAATGCTTACTTTGGATAAGAGACATTATATATAGTTTCATTTCTAGAGATGTTTTCCCACCATTAAATCATTTTTATCTAAAAACATTTTATATCTGATCTAATTAATATTTTATTTGAAATATTTTCTTTAATATAGTTAAAATCAACACAATACAATTTTTGTTAATTCATTAATATTATATGTTGGCATATGTTTTTTAACTATATACTGTGTACATCTAACACAATTCAACATTTTCTATGCTTGTCTCAATCTCAACATACTAAAGTTAGCTTTTATTTTTATATACACTGTATATATTTTTAAAAGTCATAAAAAGATAATGAAAATAAATGTTTATTCTTCTCTGAAGTAGACTATGGTTTAAATAGTAATGTAAAATACATTTAACATATTTAGATATAGATTGCAGAAAAATGGGATTCTTCATTAGTCTCATTATTTTTAGAAAACAATTAGACAGTAATTAACAGGCTGGATAATGAATGTTTACATTTTAAATTTTTTAGAGATGCACATTTGTATTTAATGCTCTTTGTTTTAAAAGCAAGTCATAAACAAACAGTAATTTATAAACTTTAGTTAAATTCTGACTTTACAAACTAGGATCGTAAAATTTTAAATTTAGGTTTATTGAATATTGAAAGGAAGTGGTTTGAGTCAACTTGTATTTCTCAACTGTTTTGATTAAATTAGGTCACACATGAGTTGATTGCTTTATGAGTAGTTTTTTTTTTTAATTCATATATTTAGATTAATTTATTCAGTTTGTTTTAGTTTTTAATAGTTTCAAAATAATAGAATTATAAATTTATTGATAATTTTCATATTTTAAATAAAATTTTATATATGAACAACAAGCATAATATGTACACACCACACACACACCACCTCTATATATTAAGTATAATCTATATATAATATGAGGGCTATTTTTTAAATAAGGTCTGTTTGTGAATGAGAGTGAGAATAACATGCGTTCACAGCAGTGTGCATGAACATCTACTCCCAGCATGCTTTACACATGTTTAGACACCATTTGCAGCCATATTGTCTGTCTGTGTGCTGAGCTGTAGAAGTTTATAATGTTTAAGAAAATTGAGTTGCCCACCAACTGTGAGATACGATCTGTTATTCGGTTTCAACACGAAAGATCATGGCGACTGTCTTTTGGGACAGGAAAGGGATTTTGTTAATGGATTTTATGCCGTTAGGCACAACAATCAATTCTGATGCATATTGTGTGACCTTTAGAAAACTCCAGCATGTAATGCAACTTTTTAAATCATCTATTGACATGAATTGAATAGGATATGAGGAAAAATGCTAGGTATGGAAATTGAATTATTACTTTACAATTACACTGGACAGCAAATTTTAACTTTGATAATTTTTCTTGATCTTTTGTCTATAATTTTGTTTTATCTGTTACTTTTTATGATAACAACAAAAAAAAATACTTCTCTCATCTCAGAATAAGAAAATAAAAGCCAACTTACTTATTAATTTTATTAGTAATAAAAAAAATATATAAATTAAAGTTTTTCATGCCACTTTCCCTTGTATAATGCTCTTTTGGTTTCTAAAATCAGTGTCAGCCAATATTCTTCATTCTTTTTCAAACTTATTTACATAAGTGCACATTAGGAGTATAAACCTGTTTCTAGTCAATTCAACAAAAATCTATAATTAACTTTGGCAAGAAATTCTCAGATGATTTTAACAAAGATGATCATCTGTTTCTTTCAAGAACTATGTATTCTGATATTCCCAGCTCTCTTATTTTGCCAAAAACTCAATTTGACAACAAAATAATATCCCATGTTTAATACTCAGTATTTAGTGCAAATATATTCCAATTAAAAGTTATTGGTGTGCAGGCTGTAAAATAATTGCCAACATTTCACATTTATGAAATACAATATTTTTAAAAAGTGATAAACTATAAAATAACATGTAAGCAGACAATTTTACTTCTATATAGCAGTGTTAGATAACATTTCTATTTTTAAAAATTCCAGAGTTTAAAATCAAACTTAATGTTCGAGTAAGTTGTTTTATGAGTTTGTTTTTGACTTTTTCTCCAAATGTATATAATATGGTAAAAATTAAAACAATAATAAAACAATTTTTAACTCTAATGGCAGCTTGTATAGGTGGAGAAGCATTTGGTCTCTATTATAGATGTTAAAATATTCATTTTATATTTAGGAGGCTGATTCTGTTGTCGGTAGTGTGTGCTGATGAAATTGGCATGGTTTAATTTTCAGCAGCAGCAGATTGATTGGGGAGGTGGCTTGTGTTAAGCCTTCCCCATTGACACACACAAAATAAAATTTAAGATCAAATTTTGTTTGATTAAAATTTGTTCAAAAACAATTTTTAATGAAAGTTATTTGTTCAAACTTTAAAAGAAAAACATTTATGATTGCAACTGTAGTTTGTTGGATCATTCATACTGCAATCATCATAAACATGATAAAAACATAAATTATTTGAGTATTTTTATTTTTGAGTTAGAGAAAGCTAACTCAAAAATTAAAAATACTTGAATAAGACTAGCTTACTATTCTTCTACTGCTGATTAGTTTCTTTACAAAAGAACTTTCAATTCATGCTGTACAATCTGATGCTACACTTAACACTTGACTCAAATTCAGACAGGTGCAGCAATGAGCATTTAAAACATTGTTAAATTCAAATGTAGATGTTTGTTGTCCCAACTATGATGTGTGTATTTATTGTCATATTTTTTTATGTTACTCTTATTTTATTTTATCTTATTTTAATTCTAATCTTTACCTAAAATTAGAAATGTAAGTTTATCTGTTAAGTCTCTGTTTTTTGAACATACTTTTACATATTTTAAATCAAAAATGATTCAAAAGGTTGTTCTTGAATTCTTAATTATGAAATTTAATTGTTGAAATTTTAAATATAAAAAATTGATACATACCTAATTTTTACATTCAATTTAAATTAATATTTGTTGAATCTATAAAATTTTTGTAATCAAATAATAGTATTTTAATTACATTTAATTGGCATATTACATGTACTGTACCTTATTTATGCAAATTTCAAAAGTTTCTTTACATGTAATAGTATTAACAACTTTTTTTAATACACAACAAGCATTTTCATCATATGCATTTCCTATAGCAAGTGCAGCAATATTTTTTTCTACATTCAGCATTGAAAAGTATCTCTAGAGAATTTAACTTGTTAACAAATTAAAAGTAAATATTAAAAAATTTAATATAATTCTATATTTTGTAAGATTTTGTTTTGTTACATATGTTTTCTTTATAGCATTTGACTATAAATAAATTTTTATACTGATGATAATTTCCAAATGAAAGCATAAAAATAGAAAATGAACTTGCTTATAATATTATTGTCAAACACTAACCATTATGTAATATGCTTAAATTATGAATTACCATAACTTTGCTGCAATATTCTTTTTCTTTATAATAACACATTACATAAAGTTTTGTGTTTCAAGCTATTTATTAAATTATTTTTTTATTAATTGTTTCTGAAAAATAGTTTTAGCAATTTAGATTTAGTTGTATAGTTAGTTATATTGCAGTTCAGGTATACAATAAGATTTATTTGTTAAGTCTAAATATTTTACATAGAAATCAAACTCTCTGTTTAACTAAAATTATTATAGTCAATTATAGTATCATGAAATTACGGTGTATATGTAACATTGCATTAGATTTTGAGTAAATTAATTCTTTTAATTACAGTAAGTGTATTCAGTATTCATAGTCCATGAACTATAAATGCACAGTGTACCAGAAATAGAAAAACAAACAAGTTTCTGGATTATCTGAAAGACCCTTAGTCCCTCAAGTTTGGAAAATGATAGGAAAAGTTTATATGCCATATTTGAGCAAAATCATATTAAATTCTTGTCATTTGTATTATCCTTTAATACTTGCTAATTTGTTGATGATTGAGAAAATGAAACTACTAAATTCTGGAATTAATGAATTAATCAATACATTTCCTCTTCATGCAAAAAACCAGTTTCTGTTCACATACACCAGTGTTTCTCAACCTCTAATGAATCGTTGCCCCCTTCCATAAAACCGTTACTTAGTATCGCCCCCTTCAATAAAACCGTTATGTAGTATCGTCCCCATCACTTCAAAATTCCGATGCTGAGGGCCAAGGCTAACGCCAAATTTGTACTGCATTGAATAGACTAGTGACTAGTATAATGTTGTTTGTTTAATTATTGTACGATATAACAAATAAAATATCTAATTATTCTTAGTATAATGTTTTACTATATCGCCCAGAAAATTGTTTTTTGCCCCCCAAAATATAAATTGTTAGTAATCGTTTTTTCATGTTGAGGGGACACTGACATACACCATGAACTTCTCACCATTTCTTTCCTATGAAAGTTATTCATGGCATACTCTGTGTATTCAATAAATTTTATACATAAATAAAAGGTTTTTTGTGAATTTTATTAATTTTAATATTAAACTTTATTAGGGAACAACATCCACAGAAAACGACAAAGAAAAATTATTAGATTTTAAAGATTTGGGAGATATTTCATCTGGCAACTTAGGATCTGTGTCTAATCAAAGTGAAGCTGGTCCAGATGTTGCACAGTTTACTGAAGAGGAATTCAGATCTGCTGCAGAATGTAAGAACGATAATTTATATGTTTACATGGATATGTAAAGAATATCTGTTCTTACTCATAGTCCAAAAATTTTACAATATACTATTACAATTAAATAATTTTTATGAAATGTCTAAATTTTTAAATCTAAAATGAACAAAATTTATTAATCTGACAAATAAACTTAATAAAATTTGACTAATTTGACTTAAAAACTTAGTAAAATTTGATTGATTTATTACAATGAAGATTCATATATTGATAAATAGAAAATAATTTTGGATTCCTTACTGCTAATTTCATCCAGGACTTTCAGTAATATAAAAAAGTTGAATTTTAAATAGTTTATATGATAGTTTAATAGTAAAATTTTCATATATTAAGCAAATTAACAAAAGCAATAGGTTTTATTAAATCTTTTGGTTTTGAATATATTATTAGATTATTAAATTGAAGGATGCTTTAAAATATAATTTTCAATTTTTATTTCTTCACATAAAATTTGAGGAATATGAGAAAATGAAATATTAAATTATTTCTTAAAGAAATAGTTGAAATATTTATTACATTATTTAAGTATTAACTTTGTTTATTTTTAGTTTTCAAAGATCCCTCTGCATTTGAATTTCTTCAAAAAGCAGGAAATAGTACTGTAAGTTTTATTTAACACTATAATTCTGTGATGTGTTTTGTTATAAATAGTATTATTAATATGTTAGGTGTTCTAATAGAATTTTCCAGAAATCCCATGTAATAAATTTTTAAGAAATGTCAGTGTTTATAGCATTCAAAAATAATTGTTTATCAAATTTTAATTATTTTGATTGCAACTTTCACTTTTTAACTTACTTATTCTCAATAACAGAAAAGGTCAGATTAAGTTTTTTGATTTTATTTAATTTCAAGAAAGTGAGTTATTATATGACTTATCAGGATTATCAGATGAACGAACCAAGATTTGTATTTTGTTCTGTGTATTATGATACAAATACATTATATCCAAGGCTGAAGAATATTTTTAGGACCATAAATTTCTCTGAAGATTATTGTACATTAACATACAAAATAAAACATTTTATGAACTAATTTATAATTATTACTATGTAGTTTGGAAAATTCAAATTAAATCATATATGTAATTAAATTGGCCTATTAATTGTCACACAACACTAAATTTATAAATTAACTTAGTGTTCTTTTAATTAAAAACATTTTTAAATACATGTCATCATCATAGGATATCATATACAGTAGAGCAGTGTTCCACAACCTTTTTCTACTTGCAGCACACCTCTGACTCGACATGACTCGACATGGCACACNTTCTCTTTGCTGGAATCAGAGACGAGCCGCCATTTTACTCACCATAGGTAACATTATCCAATTGTGCTTACTTATTAGTGCAGTCTAAAGATTGATGACACTTTGAATTTCATAGCAATTGGTTTCTGCGACAAGTACACCTATTTGTGGTACATTTATTTGTGGCAAAGATCTTATTTTCACTTTACCGAGTGCCTAGTAGGTAATGTGTGGATTACCTAGATACTCTGCACATTATCTAGGTAATTTAAGAAATGGAACAATTTTCACAACTTTAACAGATCACCCTAGTTAATCTGCAGATTAACAACTTTCGAGCTTTAGCGGTAACATATACAGTATACTGTATTGAACAAAATAGTTATGCAGCCCACGCTCATCATTATCTCAGTTATCTGGCCTGCTGTGAAAAACTTTGGAGACCCCTGGCTTATAGGTTCCAGTCTTCATTTCCTTTGTTTCATTCACAATCTTATATTTGCTTTTTAGGGATAGTATCATTTAGTGTAGTTTAGTAATCTTTATATATTACATTGTGATTAGAATTTCATTAATTGAATTATTTTACTTTATTTTAAATTATGTTCTGCTTGCTTATTGTTTCAACTAACTTCTGTTTTCTTTCTATTAAGTAAATAATGTCTAATAATTTCCATATTTGTTTTTCTTGTTTTGTATTAGTTTCTTTTATAGTAGTGAATAACGTAATTAATGCTTTCATTTTATTTATTTTAGTTCATTTAGAATCATATTGGTTGTTAAGTAAATAGGGGGTTTTGTAGCACTTCAATGTTATTTGGGGATTGTGAATAAGATGACTCATAACATCATTATGAGGTACAAATTTTGACCATAAGAAATAATGGATAAGCTTATACATACATATGAAATTTCAATATATGAGAGGTTTGTAAGAGTGAAGTATGCTGTGTGTCATGCTGTATATATGGTTAGTTTATGTAAAGAAAAATTTTTGACAGAATATTGCCCCTCCCCGCTTAAATTTTTTAATGAAAAGTTAATATGAAAATTGTTGTTATAGTAATGTACTTTTTTAATGATTGCACACTATATTTTAATGTATTTGGTCTTATGGCTATATAATTTGATTTTTTATATTAAATTTTTTAGGCTTTACAAGAATCAACTTTAGCAAGATTTTCATTATATGTAAAGTTTGATCCACTTTTGAAATCAGACTCTCCAGGTTTGTTAACTTTTTTAAATATTCAAATTTTAAATTAGTAATAAAATTTGTTTTCAAATTACTATATGTTTCTCTCTCTAACCTGAAACAATGAATCCTGCAGAAATTGCTATAACAAATAAAACCTTTCAATAACTGCACCTGTGGACCATCTATTAAAATCATGATACTTATGGTATGCAGTTTAGAGAATCTATCTCAAACATTAAAATGACATTTTTCTGTTATACTTCATTGTAAGTGTGAAATGGATTACTAGAAGGATATCTAATTTCTTATGTCAAAGATAAAAATATCTATTAAACAACAATTTATTTTATCATATTACTTTATTTCTCTTATTTATCTAATGATGATGATGATGATAAGTGTTGAAATAAATTCAGAAAAAAATTGAATAAAAAATAATTACCAGTATATATGGATAATATATGATGAAATGAATTCCAGTGTTGATTGCTAAGCTTCTTTTGGTCGTAGAGAATACTAAGTTTAGTTTATACAGATATTTACTAGTGAAGGTGAAAGCACAATGCAAAAATCTAGCTAATTTTACATAGTAAATTTGATTTTCACTGACATTTTACAAAATGAGAAATAAACAACAAAGTGACTATAGCAAATGTTATTAAAACAAAATAATAATTGATAACAATAAGTTTTTTATGTTAGCTTTGTCCATTTACATATTAAAAGAAAATTCCAAAATTAATTATGATGATTATGATAACATAATTAAAAAGTAAGTTCTTTGTAACTGCTGTTCTTAAGTCTTTTTCTCTCTTATTTTGGGAGATTAGTTATTCCAATTAGTGGCACATGTTTTTTGCTAGTGGAAAACTTTTTGTTCAAATGTGATTACAATTCTCAAAACAGAAAAATTACTGGAAAGAATGTTGCTGTTTACAAAGTATTTGTAAACAGCAACAATGTTCTCTTTTCATAATGATTTGTTTTCTATATGAACTAAGCTTAAAATCAAGATATTAAAATTATTTTCTTTTTACTTTTTTTAGTTTATTTTAACATTTGTTATTTTTATTTGATAAATAAGGCAGAATTGATATGATATGAAAAATTGTCTTTTAAAAAAAGAACTTGTTCAAACAAAAGATGTGCCTCCTTTACTTGATGATGGATTGTAATTATTAAACCATCCGATAGGATGCTGAAATTGTTTCATTTATTCACTTATTGTTTAGGGAATGTTGCACACAGACTGAGTCATGACAGTGATTCCCCACCAAGTAAAAAAGTCACTGACTGACTATATATATACAGAAGTCAGTTGCTGATTTTTGGGGGTTGATTTCTATGCCCTAAACACCTGAAGTAATTCCAAATATCTCATTCAAAAGATAATTGTTTTCTTAGATAGTGTACAAAAATATCAAGATTTTCTGTAAAGCAGTTGCCGAAATATAAGCAATTGAAAAGTGCAAAAATTGCCAAAAAAAAAGCTGCATTTTCTTCTTTTCTTCGTCCAGCACTGCAGGTGCTCCTAGAGAAAAAACTTCCATGTCTAGAAAGCTCAGATTTTAAATGTAAGCAATTCTCGTTATTAGTGAGGTTCTTTTTATAACGATTTTTCTAAATGGCATATTAAAAGCGTCAGTCAGCAGCATGTTCAGTTGATGCATAGTCAAGTTACGATTATCATTTAAATGTATATAATTATTTTTAGTTTTCTAAATTCACTTTATAGTGATGAAAAGAACAAGAGTCTGTAGCTTATTAGGAGGCTAATTATTGCGTCATTTATTGTTTATTTATTAGGAGGCTAATTATTGCGTCATAAATTTATCAGCTTTTAAGATATAAATTAAAATGGTTGTATTTAATATCAATAGCAGCATTCAGCACACCCTGCTATACTGGAACAGTTTATTTTTTACATCTTAATCAGTTTCAAACTTGTGGTTTAGATTTGAGGAAATATGGTTTATTATCTTGGAAATAAAAACCAAAATTTTTAATGAAACATTATTACATTCATTCATTTTTTAATTGAATTAGCTTGGATTAATTTTTTATACTCTATACTTTTTTATTTGATCCTAGTCTTTATTCTTTTTCTATTTATGCACTTTGTTTTTTAAATATATAATTTCTATCATTTTGTAAATTTAACAAGTAGAAAAATAATGATATAATTTGTATTTTTAGTTAAGCATCAGTCAGGAAATAAGAAGAGTGATTCATCAAACAAGTATGCAAATATTTGTAATATGAAATACTAGTTTATAAAATAAATAATAATAATAATAAAAATTTTATAATTCTTTTAGGTGTGTAGATGATCAATGTGTAAATAATCAGATTGATGAAAATTTTTCACCAAAACACTTAAACAAAAGTAGTGATAGAAATGATCAAACTTCTGTAGAGATGGTCGGCAATATGGCAAAACAGACTATTGGAAGTGGAAAATTGATTGATTTCAGCCCCTCACCAAAAAAGGTTAATGACTTATTCAATCAAAATATTATTATTTGTTTTTAATTTAAAATTTATGTATAAAAATCCTACAAATAGAAAGACTCTTGTAATCCTGCCAATCAGCAATTAGATAATGGCTCTTCTCATCCCCTGCAAGTAAGAAATTCATGTTATATTAATTAAATGTACATAATATGCTAATAATTACTTAATGAATTTTGTTTCTAGGAAACAAAAATGTTTTCTGAGGATGAAGTCAATCAAGCTTTGAAAATGCAAGAATTATTGTATCAAGAAAAATTAATAAAAAAAGATAAGGAGTGGAATGAAAAGCAAAAATTATATGATAAAGAAAAACAACAGTTAAAAAACCAGAATATTGCACTAAAGCAAGCATTAGCAGTAGCAAGGTCTGCTTAAAGAATATGATAATTTCTGTCTTTAATTAATTAATTAATTATTTAATTGAACAGTTTCAATTTTATTTCAGTTTTGTTGCATTAGAAATGTCAAAAATGTTTTCATTGTTTAAAGACCAAAAAGAACAAGAAAGGGTGGAAATGACAGCCACAAATCAAAGATTGATTAAAGAAAGGGACCAAGTAAGTATTAAATATTTTCAGTTACTAATCATTAAAATAATTAAAGTTTTAAATGTATTGCTATATTATTGAATTTTCTTTACTCTATATAAATACATTAAATTACATGAATAAAATTAGAACACTATTCAAGATTCAAAATAATTATAGTTATTGAAGGAATTGTTTTCCTAACAGAACAGAATTTTATTCTGTTACTTTTCTTCTGCATTAGTCTTGATTGTATTATTATTGAAAATAAAAGCAGATGCCTTACAATATGGATTTTCCATAGTTTCTAAGGAAGTCAAGTGTAAATTATGGACTTATGGATAACACTTTAAAAACTACAGAATAATCTTTTATGCTCTCAAATAAGTGCACTAATGCCACATGTGTAGATTTGTTTGCATAGAATAGCCAATATGCCAAGTCTCAAACCATTAAGTTCAAAACCAATGACATGGAATGTACAGTACAGACAGCAAGTGCTTCCAATTTGCAAGTAGCTAAGGGTTTACCTAAAAATTCTTTCTGTGTAAGACCAAGTTGCATGGACATGCCTGTTCAAAAATGACGCATGCTTGCATCTAAAAATGACGTGTACAGTACTCTTCTGACATCACAATCGGACATGCAAAGAAATTTATTTTCGGATATATTAACAGCGCACTTACCAAGTGGATATAAAGGCGTGAAATTCCCTAACTGGACAGGATGAAAACTTAAGACGTCTGTAAGACCACCAGTTCCAACTTTTTACTTTTATTGTTTTAATTGGATATTTTTGTGTGTTTTTTAAGGAATGTTTTAACCTGACGACCTAGTAGCCTCAAAAGAAAGGTCCGGTCGTCGAAGGTGTTCTGGAACACATGATAAGAATAAAAGTGGTTTTTCAAAAAATATTTTTGGACAGACTGTGTCTTCTTTGATTAAAAAAAAGAAAAAAAAAGATTTATTGTACATAAACAGTATGGGCATAAAGACAAAATGATTAAATTTGCAAGCAGTTTGGGGGTTTACAGGGGTGCAAAATTAGTAGACACAGTTGCCATCCCCGGCGGCTAAAACGGCCCTTATCCGTTTAAGCATGGAGTCAAACTGGGTTTGGATGACAGAAACGGGCAACTCATTCCATGCTGCTTCAAGTCTATGCCATGCTTCATCAACTGTATTAGCAGGAGAGGGGTGGCGGGCCAGTCTCTCAGCAACCCATGACCAGATGTTTTCAATTAGTGAGAGATCTGGAGACCATGCAGGCCAGGGCAACAATTGAATATCCTCTGTATCGAGGAAGGTCAGAACTCGACATGCAACATGAGGTCTTGCATTATCTTGTTGGAAGATGGCATTTTGCAGGCCTCAGAGATAGGGCACAACCACTGGATGTAAATGTCAGAAATGTACCGACCTGAGTTCAAATTACCATCGATCCGAACTAGAGATGTGCGTGTCGTGTACCAATGGCTGCCCATATCATCACACCAGGTGCAGGGCCCCTAAGTCAATATCAAATGCAAGCAGGCGATGAGCGGTCTGCTCGGAGCCTCCAGACACGTATACGGCCATCAGAATGCTGCACACAGAACCGGGACTTATCTGAAAAGATGACATCGTGCCACTCCTGTATCTAGCTTTGTCGTTGAGCGCATCAGAGTTGCTGTCTCTCTCTATGCTGCATTGTCAAGGGAAGCCAAAGTAATGGTCGCCGTGCTGACAGTCCACGCTGCTGAAAACATCATAGCACTGTACGAGCAGATACTAGACGTGCTGCAAACAAGCTCATTTCCTGACTAATGGTCCGTGATGTGGTTGTACGGTTTTGCACGGCCGACCTCACAATATGTCTGTCCTCTCGAGCATTAGTCATGGGAGGACATTGAGATCCTGCATGCTGTTCAGTAAGACCCTCAGCAGCCCATCGATTCCATATTCGCATGACAGTGGTTGGATTTCGACCAGTGCGAGTTGCAATATCATGGAATGATAATCCACACTCTTGAGAGGCAATGATCCTGCCTCTATTGAATTCCACTACTTGCTGGTAAGCATTTCTTCTTCTTACTCGAGGCATAACACGATATTCTGATGAAACCCCGACCTTACAAAGCGATTTCTGAATGAGAAATCCACTGCACAACTTTTCTTTTATGCAGTGCTTCAGATGTCGTTTGTCCCTCCTGCATTGTCTAAATGCACTGAAATACTAATCATTTGCATATCCCAACCTCTTCTTCCTTTCATATGATTTTGATGTTCATACGATCATTCCTGCCTGGTGTTGCAATTTTAATGGCCAGCAGTGTACATTAAGTAAAAAAAGTAATATTAATTACATTTATAAAATTAATCACATAATTTTAGAATTTGTTTTGGATGATAATCTGAAAATATTAGAACTTATTTTAGAATCAAAATTAAGATAGTTTATGAATATCTTAAAATTGGAGCAATGACATTAAATTGGGAGCAGGGAGTGGAAGGGGGAGCACGTCCCATCCATCCCCACTGCTACTGATGGTCCTCTTCTCAGAGTGGGCATATCTGAAAAAGTATTTGAATATACTTTCTAAACAGTTTTTTAATAATTGTATTTTAGCAAGTTAACTATTTTTCATTGTTTGCACTTTGTATATAATTTTTTAGATTAATTTCATGTACATTTGATGCTATAGATACATTCTATATATAATAATTCTTCGTTTAAATAATTGCTTTACTATAATATCTCCTGAAAAACTTGTGAATAATTTTTATAACAAATGTAATTTATTTTGAAAATTATGTTGTATGATTTGTGTATCTGCTTAAATATGTAATTGCCGTTTTCTTTTAGTAACATAAAATGAACATTGAAGAATATTTTTCTGTGGATCTTATTGACATGAATATAATGTAGAAAAATGATTGTTTTTAAATTTTATTAATAAGTTTTAGATACTATGAATTATTCATTTTAATTAGTCAGATCCAAATGTGATAAGTGTAAAATTGTATTATCAGTTAACATGAAGTTCTTTTGTATTTTCATTAATGATTTCATTATAGAGAATTATACATTCATTTCATTTCAGAATATTATAGAATATAAATGGCATGAGCAATTGTAAAAAAAAAAAAATTATTTTAAAGTAGTAAAATTTAAGTTTCTTTAGGGAGAGTTTACATTAATTATAACATTTAAAAATATAACTTATTTTATATATAATTTGAAATACATTATGTGAAAATATCTTAATTTATTTTTTAATTAAAATTTTATGGCATTGTCTTTTGTTAAATTATTTATTGCATTATGCTATTTTGATATTTTTATTAGGCATTAGAAGATCTACAGAATGTAGAATCTGCTTTTGCAGATTTACATCGGCGATATGAAAAAGCTAAGGGTGTTCTCGAGGGTTACAAACAGGTAAATTGTATTTCATTGCTATAGGTTTTAAAACTAACTAAAATTTAGAAAAAATTAAATTCATTTGAACATTTTTCTGATTATTGGTATAAAGAAATTTTGCCAGAAATGATTTTTGTTGAAAGTGGCTAAACATTTATGATTGTTAGCATAGATTTATATGAAATAATATATTCAAATGAAGTTATAGAGTTTGCTGTAAGGAAATAAAATATGATGTAATGCATGGTTAATATTTCTAAAACTTAAAAATTCACTTTTGATTTTAGTAAATATATTTATTGAGTAATATTTATGCTTTAATTAATGTGTGTATTCTACATTTCATAAAAATTAAATTGAGAATTAAAATTGAATAATTAGGTGTATTTTTAAAATTTGTACATTTAACTCTTAATTTATGTAATAGATTGATTCTATATGAATCAAAACTAGCATTTACAATATATGGAAAATGATGGGGTGGATTCCAAGGTTCCATTTTTAATTAAACGTTATAAAATGAACAGAGATTAAATTTTATTTTATATCATCTTTATTTTTCAGTTGAAAATCCTCTCAGCTTTGTTATTAACTTTTTTGATTCTAGTTTTTTTCTAATTATAGTAATTTACTGAAGACATTGATGGTCTTGTGTCAAGAAATTTCATTATCAAAGCTGTTTTTTA